GATAACTTTCCAACTCCATAATTTCTTAGATGAATTTGAACCTTATGATTTATATTTGTTATGTAATTTAGCTTTGAATTGTGTTTTAAACTTGTTAAAAATAAAATAAAATTTTTACTCTAATGTTTGCAGAAGGAAAATGAAATGTTGAAAACACAAATCAATCTAGTGATGATAGTATCCTTATAGAAACTCAAGGAATAGGTGGCTCTTAAACGTTGAATATATAAATAGTAGGAGCATCTAATAACTTTTAAAGTAATACTATTATTCTGTGTTCATCTTAACTATTATTTGTCTTTGTATCTTCTTGTTCCTCTGGTGCTGGAACATCTTTGCTTAATTTGTTTACTAAGATTTCGGGATTTGAATTTCTTATTAGGAATAACTGATAAAACAAATTTAAAATCTAATCAACAATCTCTTTTGTGAAGGTACAATGATGGTAATCCTATTTCTGGATATGATCAACCGTACATGGTGGGATAATGTGTTTAATTACCATCCGTATAAAGTTGCAAAGATAGGAGCTCAATTAAAGTATGTCATGTTATGCTAATCACACGTCAGTGCCAATCTTTATATAAGGGAAAAAATAGACGAAGCCATTAGCCCTAACCCTAATGTCATTCGTTCTCTCTTGATCTTCCAAAGCTCTCATGTTGTGCCCTGAAACTGTGTTACTTCACTCTTCAATCTTTATCCCAAGTAAGGTTTCATCATCCCAACTGTTTCGAGCTACATGTATGAAAAAACAGTGCTCAAACCTTATGAATGGAGTAATATCACATGTATATTTTTCGTTCATTTTTTATGGACGAAGTTTGATTTATTAATGTAATTTGAAGTGTAATCTTTCGGGTGTTCTTGATTAACGCTTTATATGATTTAAAGCTAATTGGATTTTTAGTTGTTTATTTAACGGATCGTGGGCCTCGTGGTGAATAACTTGATCTTTTAGAGTGTTCTTAACAAATGTATCATTTGTTAGATTGATCATTTTATCTGGTTGCTTCTTGTGTTAATTCAGTTTATAGATACAAAACAAGAACAAGTAAACTATTTCTTCAGTAAATTTAGATTCAGCTGCACGAGTCTCGTTATATTCACTTTATAGATATTGTTGGTTATTTGGGATTCAGTTTGATCTTTTCGATTTTGTTTTTCTACCATTCTAATTTGTGGCTGGGTGGTGTAGGCCAAAAGTTTAGTGTTCACTGGTCTTTTTAATGAGGGAAGTGATTTTCAGATGATAGCTATGTTAATTCATGTTTTTTTTTTCTTGATTTGTCGTCGTTATGAATCTGTTGGCCTTGGCAGTGGAAATAATGATTTCATCTTTTCAGATTTTCTGAATGATTGTATTGCAAGTCTAATCCATTTAGTGAATTTTGTTTCCTATTAGACTCAATTTGATGCCTTTTGTTTTAAATTTGGTTTCCAGGGGCAGTATGAATTTGAGTCTGGGTGTGCCCTGCTACATTTTTCCTTTTATACTGTTAAATGGAATAGTACTCTTACTTTGTTGAATTCTTGATTTCTAAATTTTGTTTGCTACATTTTCTGTGTATGTTTTTCTTTTGGGTGTCCTCATCAATTCTAAGATCTTTTTCATAGAACTTACTTCTCTTTATTTGTTACTGGGATTTCTAAGCATTATGAGGTATTAGGCTACATGAATTCTAATAAAAATATCACTCTTTAAGCACATTTTACGCTATAAATGATGGCATGTACTTAAACTAAAGGCACAGGGGAAGCATGTTTCTAGAGATGAAGAGGGGAGTAGAACTTGATGGCAGATGCTCATTGCAGGATGGCGAAGGTATGTGAATATTTTACTCCGAAAAACATTAGAACTTTATTTTCAATTTTGATCAATAACAATTCATTTAATATAAATTTACCATCTACTAACACGACTTGCTTAAAGAAACTACAAAACTAATATTATAATTAAAAATGTTAGCTTTTGAGAATTACATTCGACAAAATAAATAGGTTCAGTCTACTTTTAAGCACAACCAAAACAATTAAGTTTTAAATCTCACCTCAACCCTTGTTGGTATTAAAAGTTTACTTTCAAGTACAACCAAAACCTGTAAAAACTCAATTTCAAATCTCGCCACGAGTTTTACGTTCGATTAGACAAGAAGAAGAAATGATGCAGGAGGATCCGAGTCAAGTGATGCTGATTTGTAAGATTGCACGATGATGGCGCTGAGATACCATGAGATGGCGGATCGGCGCAAAGATGGAAAGTAAATCACCATTATTTCCTTAATTGGGAGATTTTGACGCGTCTTTGGTAATTTGGCCATAACTTTGGCTACGGTTATCGGAATCGCTATTATGACCCCAATTCGGAAAGCTCTCTTCGGCGCGCACGTCGTGGCCACGAGCTTTGCTCGGTGGACGTCAATTTCAAGCCCAAAATCCACTGTTTTTCTTTCCAAAATTCAATTTTAAGTTATTTTTTACTATTTATGGTAATATTTAGTTTCCTTTTTTCTATATGTTAGAGAACTCGAATTAAGCCAAATTTTTGGCAACTTACTTCTTTTACTTAATATTTTATTTTGGTATAATTTCGGGATTTTGCCATTTTTGGTAATTTTCCAATAATTTCGTATTTCGCAGCTATTTAACCCGGCTTGTGGGTTCGTTTTCAGCATTCTGCATTATTAATAATATTGAGTTGAATTCAGAGTATTTTCTCTGTTTTTTTTTGGGCGTTTTCTATCGTCTTTTCTTGCGAATCATCTGCTACAACAAGCCAATAGGATAATCATTATCCTATCCGGCGTCAAGAAATAACGTTGAGCACTCGTGGAAAGTATAGAAAGATTGGATTCGGTTGGTGGGATTTCCCTCTCTTACAGATTTATATATTAATTGTAATTAGAAGTGCGTTTAGTTGATTCAGTAATGCCAAAATTATGCTTAATTATTTTATTAATTACAGTTGAAATCATGCCTCTTTATAAACCAAATGTGCTAGTATTTTTTTTATTTTTTTTATGTTAATAAGATAACATATTAAATTAATGCAGGTAAACAGCATTTTAATTTCAGCCGTTGAATCACCAATATAAACATTTGAGACTCTACATTTTGAAGTCTTAGGTAAATAATTCAATATATTACATTAATTTGGACTGGAGAAACTGACTTCACTAGAAAAATTATGAACATAATATACACATATGATCGAGCTGCCTCACTAATCCAGCTTGATAGCCCAAAAGAAGTGAATTTTAAAGGTTAGGCTAACTAATTTTGTCTTCAACATGGCAGATTATGTGAAGGTCGAATACAGTTTTCATCAAAAGTTTACTGCGTATGAAGAAGATGATGATGAGTCTTGAAAAAAAAAAAGATAAAAATGACTTCGTTACATATTGTTTGATACGGCAACTAAAATTGTCATAATGACATAAAAAAAAAAAAAAAGAAAGAAAGAAAGAAATTTCGTGACGATCACTATTATCACTAACTATTTTTGACGAATTAAACTGGCATCATTTGATGTGTCAAAATCGAGGTCATTTACTTGAATAAGTGTTGTTAAAATTAATGGTAAAATTGTGTTCAATGTCAAAAAGTGTAGACAAAGCTGTCAATCATAGTGTAAGGATAGTAAAACTAATTATAGACCACAATAAATTTTTCTTTGATTTTGATTTTGATTTTTTTTTTTTTAAAGTGATTATATTTTGGAGAATTTGTGGTTAAAGAGTGACAAAATCATGGATAAATGTGCAAAATTATTTTATTAGGAGAATATGTAGTTAAACATGAATATGAAGAAAAATGATTTTGAATTAAAATAAAACAAAGGCTAAATAGTAACCGAAAATAAATTACATAAATCTCATCGATATCATGTTTAGTAAATAGTAAGCAAGACTCATACTTCTTATTTATAAGTATTAATTGCACTCCAAGTTTTCACATATGTTGTATCCTTAGTTGTCTCTTCAATATATTTTTGATATATTGATGCATCATTTATACTTAGTAAATAAGAACAAGCCAACACATACGTTGACGTCTTCCTATTTGCTAAGAAAAAAGTGATATATCAAAAATACACTGGAGGGACAACAAAATTCAACTCGTGCTTCAAAATACATTAATTTACAATTAGACTTCCGATGCATATTATAATTACCTAATTGCAAGTCCCTAATTCAATCAACTGAGCTATATGCCTGAGCATTTTTGAGAAGTGTTTATAAACGGTTTAAGTTATGATACATATAAATAAACGATGGATAATGTTAGGTTTGGTGACTCAAATGTATTAGAATTCTTGTTGATTTAGAATTTGATCAAGTGGAATCCTATAAATTGGTTGAGTTTTTTGAAGATGCGTGTTAGACTTTTACTTGGAAATGGGAATCTAATTGCATCTAACAAAAGGAGACAAAATCTTGTTGAAGTTGGGTCTCCTACTTGCAATATATTTTCTTACCTTTTAGGACTCTTCTAGGCTTGGGCCTATAAATACAAGGCTTCTCTAATCAATTTGTAGAGAGTAACATAGAAGCAGTATTGCTAGTCTGTCTTGTATTTTTTATACTGTTGAATTAATAAACATCGTTCCTCTGCGTTTATCCTTTGTGTTCTTTCTTTACAAATTAAATCTTGTGTTTTCATCGTGTGATCTTATTTACTTTGATATTGTCATTATCATCTCGTTTTTACAATCCGGTTTGGAATCAACAAGTGGTATCGGAGCTTCCGCGCCCAACAGATAAGAGGATACTATTTGTTATGGCTCCTTTTGAAATACATGGATAAAAAATGACCTGAGAAAAGTCATCATGCATTTTTTTGATAATCATTTAATCAAGTTGCAATTGTGCTTAATTTCCAAAGTTAGTCAAGCTGCAATCTTGACAACTGGAGCACTTCTCTTTTTCGGCTATGAATAACAGTGAGAGCGAGTGTTGAAGAATCATCAGTTTTTTAAGTGGTGACTTGAAGCTCAAAAAATGGCAAGTCTACCTCAATTCTCCTTGTCCCATTTGCTTATCTCCATTTCACTTGCTTACTTTTGCTTCTCCAACCTCTGCTTCAACTTCAAACCCAAACATTTCAATCTGTCTACCTAAGCCGTGCATTGGTCATCTGCCGTGCAACGTGGTACGGGAGCCCTGCTGGCGCCAGAAGTGATGGTACGTCGAAGATTAAATCTAATAAATAAGATTGTTCCCTTTTATGAAAATTATGTACGTAAAAGTGAATCCTATTGCAAGTAAGCCGAGCGTGTTGAAAAATTAAGTTTTACATGTCATCTATATATTTATCAACTTAGGCTTTTGAACGAGGTGATTTAACGCTTTAATGAACAACCACTGCATGCACGTGGAGCATGTGGATATGGAAACACAGTGTCACAAGCACCATTTCCTTCCCCGGTCACTAGAATAGGCCCATCCCTCTATAATTCAGTCAAGGAATGTGGAGCTTGCTACAAGGTATCTACAAATCAGGAGTTCCTGTCCTGTTAAACTTTCGGGATATATTTAGTACACAGTATTAGATTAGAGTGAATAATGAGGACAATCTTCTTTTAAGTTAATGACTCAATAGTTTGCGACTATACATAAAGCTTCCGACTATCCAAAAAACTTTGTCCTCCATTGGCTTCGCCTCTAATTCTAATACGTAATATATTCATTTTCTGATAATTGTTAGATAAAACGTACCAAGCACCATTCGTGTTCCGGCAAACCAGAGAAGGTCGTTATCACAGATTTTTGTCCCGGAGGCCCATGCGCATCAGAATCAGCTCACTTTGACCTAAGGGGAGCAGCATTTGGCTCCATGGCTATCCCGGGTAAAGAAGATAAACTTCGGGATGCAGGAGTATTACAAATTCGATATGCAAGGTTAGCTAACGGGGTAATGTGATGTACAATGAAAAATGATGCACGAAAATTTTGAAGAGTCTAGCGTTTTTATTTTGCACAATTTTTAAAAACTAAGTCCTTGTTTAGTAGAAATTAAAATCTAGATTTTTAATCACATATTTCATGAAATTCACAACTTTTCAATCACATATTTTATCAATATTTATCAAAATCTACTAAATTTTAATTTTAATCTCCACCGAGAATGAGCTGAAATTTAGAAAGGTTTCAAAAACTCAAAATATATATATATAAAAGAAAGAAAAAAAGTTTCATGTTTTTTTCTTTTAAACAAAGTTCATAAATTTAAAAGAAACTTTGAATAAAAAATATTTGTTGAAATGGTGGTCTTTAACTAGGAATACACTTGATAAGGTTTTTTGGCAAAAAGGTTAACAAATAATTTTGACTTTTTCCAGCGACACGTATGGATAATAATTTTTGTAGATGTCATAATGCATCAAGTTAAAATCTTGAATATTTGACTGGTTGTGTAATTTTAATATTTATTTAAGGTTAAATTTTTTTAAAAAAACAATATTAAAATTCATGACATAATATATTATTGTGCAATTATGTTTTTTCTAGAAAATCATTTCCACATCATTTTGTGTCATGTTTTTAGGGGGGGAAACAAAGTGTCGACGTTCTGTCACATTTTTGTTTTTGATAATTATAATAATCAAGCCTCAATCTCATCTCATCTAAAATTTCAAATTCTCAATATCAAAACTCAGCCTTGATCATTTCCATGGTAGGAGTTGAGCTAATCCCACCTACAATTGAACAAATCAACCAAGTGAGTGAAGGAATTAACTTGAAAAATGAAGGAACTCAAAAAGGGAAGAAGAAAGAACTAAAGAATAATATTTTTCCCTTCTGATTCAGCTCAGAAAACATCAATCCAACACCACAAAGGCAATACCAATTGGAGATTTTTCAATCACAGAGACAGAGGCACACGAAGGCACACAAAGGCAATGGCTGGTTTTCTACCATGCACAAAGCAGAGGCTCGTTTTTTGGTGAGTAGAGAAAGTGAGGCCAAGAGTCCAATTTATAAGAAAAGGAAAACAAATTTCCCAGAAATAATCAACTGAGATAGAGTTGAAAAAAACTGAAAATGGTTACCAAAGATAAGGATAATATAACCATTGCAACCATCTAAATCTCACGTGATTTAGAATTATCTCCAAAATTTAGGTATTGAGCACCTAGCCCAATGAGTTGATTTCCTTTAAATACCCAACACAATTGGGTTACATCAATTGTGGTGTAGATTTATAATTCTTCAATCCTGGGCTTATAGCCTATGAAATTAAACGGGCCTCGATTTTTCATCATTGCGTAGCTGATTTGGGTATCACTTACTAAAATGCCCAACAACCTCACCTTGATGCCAAATCAACCTGTAAGTCAGATAAAATAACAAATAGTTTAAGGAAAGAGACTTACAAGTTTGTATCGATGTTTATAAGATCAAGGCAGCTTCTAAATTTTACCAATGGGAGCACATTAGTTCCCATGTCTGCAAAATTATATTCTAAAAGGGTTTTCTCAAGTTTTACCAGTTCTTGAGAAAATATATCTCTAATGAAATGCAATCTAGCATCTATATGCTTAGTACGTTCATGAAAGATAGAATTTTTGCATAGGTGAATAGTAGATTGACTATTAGAATATATTGTCACATTGTCATCAAAAATACCAAGTTCATTTAATATAGCTTTAAACCACACAGATTCTTTAAAGGCTTCAGTAGCAGCAATATATTCTGATTCAGTAGTGGATAATGCAACAATATGTTGAAATTGTGATTTCCAGCTAACAAATGAATTTCATAAAGTAAACATGTAGGAAGATGTAGTTTTCATATTATCTCTATCACCAGCATAATTAGCATCAATAAAACTTTTTAATTTTACCTCTTCAATACTAAACTTATATATCAAGCCAGTATTGCAGGGTCCATTCAAATATCTAAACAATCATTTTAAAGCTTCCCAATGTTTGGGATCAGAGTTGGACATATACCTGCTAAGTGTACTAGCAACAAAGGCTAAGTCAGGTCTAGTACACACCATTAGAAACATCACAAAATCAATGGCATTTATATATGGAATTTTTTTCATATATCCTTCTTCCTCTTTATTAGCAGGTGATTGTTCTTTCGATAATACAAAATGATTAGCTAAAGGCAATTTAATAGGTTTGCATTCATTCATGCCAAAAAAATTTCAAAATTTTCATATTATATGGAGCCTGATGCAAAAAATAAAATTGAATTAGACGTATCTCTTTGAATTTCTATGCTTTAGATTCTTTTAACGTTACCTAAGTATTTCATATCAAATTCATTACTCAAAGTAATTTTTATATTATTTAACAACTTCAAATTGGGACCAATCAAAAGCATATCGTCCACATATAGCAACAAAAACATACAGTTATTATTATTTGCATTACCTTGATAGTATAAGTAATGATCAAATTCACTCCTTTTAAAACCAACTGTTTTAACAAACGAATCAAAACATTTGTATTATTGTCTAGGAGAATGTTTTAGGCCATGCAAAGAGCATTTAAGAAAACACACATAATCAGTTTTTTTTTTTTTTTTTATTTTCAAAACCCATAAGTTGATCCATAAAAATCTTTTCATCAAGTTTTCCATGCAGAAAAGCAGCTTTAACATCAAGTTGTTCAAATTTCCAATTAAAAGATGCAACTAATGCAAGCATAGTCCTAATTGTGGTATACTTAACAACTGGAGAAAAGATTTAATTATAATCTACCCCTTCCTTTTGCGTGTAACCTTTGGCCACAAGTCTAGCCTTAAACCTTAAAGCCTCTCTTTTGGTAATTCCCTCCTTAATTCTAAAAATCCATTTACACTCAATAATAGACTTGTCTTTAGGTCTTGGGACTAATTCTCATGTTTGATTCTTATCAAGGAAATTTATCTCTTCTTTCATTGTTTTCACCCAATCCTGTAATTGTTCACTCCTCAAGGTTTCTTTATACATGTTTGGTTCCCTATCAACTAGTTCTTCATAACTAGCATAAGCAAGTTAAAAACAGACTCTAACCTTTGAGGTATCTTATATGTTCTTCTAACTCTGTCTCTAGTTAACTGGTAATCAGAAAAAGGGTTTTGCTCTCCTTGATATTCCTCTACAACCTCCTCTCTCTCTCTCTCTCTCTCTCTCTCTCTCTCTCAATATTTTCACTCTGATTATCTTCTAATTCTGGATTTTGATGCTCCATCAATTGAGATGGTGGGGTTTTGAATACTTAAAGGCCTTAAATCCACTTGAGATTCATCACTAGTGTTTTCTTGCTATTTTTTCTCTCAAGGTGTCACTTTCTGATTTTAGACATGACATTTCAGATTCATTAAATGTAACATTACGAATTATGATGATCTTAACTCCAGTTTGACTTCTATCCCAATGCCTATACCCATTAACTCCTTCAGGGTATTCTAAGAAAACGCATTTCCTAGCTCTGGGTTCTAGTTTTCCCTCATTTTGATGAGAGAAAACAGTACAGCCAAAATTTTTAACACAGTACAGTCAATACATTTACCATACCATTTTTCATGTGGAATATCACCATTTAATGAAATAGAAGGTGTCAAATTAATCAGATAACACATAGTCATAATAGCTTCAACCCAAGAAGATTTAGGAATACCAAAACTCAACATCATACATCTAACTTTGTCAAGTAAAGTACGATTCATACATTCAGCGAACCAGTTCTATTTTATGTCTAGTAATTCCACATTGTTCACACATATCATCAAAATCTTTATTACAAAATTCTAATCCATTATCAGTTTTTAGATATTTTATCTTTTTGCTAGTTTGAGTTTTAACTTGCAATTTCCATATTTTGAAATTTTTAAAGGTTTCATTTTTATCCTTTAATAGATAAACCCACACTCTACGAGAATAATCATCAATTATGCACAAAAAATATCTATTATTACCCATTGTAGAATTAGTAACATGCTCCCATAAATCAGTATAAATATATTCCAAAACTTTAGTAGTTTTGTGCATACCAGATGAAAAAGATGACTTATGATGTTTACCAAGGACACAGTGATCACAAAAGGCATATTAGACACACAGTCTTTTCCAAATACACATTTATCATTTAGCAGTTTAAGTTATTTAATACTTATGTGGGCTAATCTACTGCGCCACTTTTGTGTGTCATCTGTGTTGGTCAAATTTATAGAAGAAAGTGAATTTTTAATAATTTCAATTGTAGTCATATAAATACCGTTTCTTTTAATACCTTTACATGTGACAAAAGCACTCTTAACCATTTTTAACATGTTGTTTCCAATTTTACCAGAAAAACCATCAGTTTCTAATGCTCCTACCGAAATAAGATTTTTAGCCATTTCAGGAATATATCTGACTCCATGTAATTTAAGCACATAACTAGTGTCAAATTTTAATGTGATATCACCAATTTCAACAATTTTATATGCAATTATTGCACAAAAAAGCATGTCCACTTTCAGATTCTTATAAGTTTTCAAACCAGGTTTTATTTGATGAAACAAGAAATGATGCACCAGAATCAAGTATCCATCCATGTAAATTTGATTTCACAGTCAGATTTACTTCAGTTGATTCAAAGTTTAATAACAAATAAACTTCACAACATTCATCAGAAGAAGTAATAACATTTGCCTCATCGTGAACCTTTTTCTTTTTGTTTGTTTTTCTCAACATAACAATCTTTAATGAAATGTCCAATTTTACCGCACCCATAGCATTTTATACCTTTAGTTTTACTTTTTGACCTAGGTAGACTTCTACTTTTCTTTTTACTACCAGATGCGTATCCACTTGGGATATGGGTTATCACAAGTCCTAGATAGAGACCTACCTCTTATTATATGAACCTTGCCAATTTTTCTCTCGACTCTCTCGGCTCGTATTTTCATATCCTTTACTTTTTAACGAGTCTATGACAATTTCGGCAGTTAAAGTATCTCTCCCGTATTTAATAGTGTTTTTAACTTCTTTATAAGTGTCAGGGATAGCATTTAACAAAATAATTACCTTATATTCTTCAGATACTTTCTCACCATAGTTAGTGATATCTTGTACAAGTGTATTGAAGACATCCAAATTGTCATCCAAATCTTTTGAAAAATCGATTTTGAAGCTAAAAAAGCTTTCAAGTAGAAAAAAAAATTTTGGAATGGATTTAGACACATAAAGCTCCTCCAATTTTTCCTAAAGTTGTTAAGCTGATTTTAATTTACCAACCTTTCTTAATATCGCATCAGACAAATGTAAAATGATAGAAGTACATGCCAATTCATTCAAATTCTCTTTTTCTTCAATAGTCAAGTTTGTAGAAAAAGAGCCATCGTACGTTCGGCAAGACTCCGAGAAAGCTTCCGTAAAGAAGTTCAGGGGTTCGTGCGAAGTGTACCGTTGTTTCTTCAATCTTGAGCCCTATGTCCTATTCAAGCTCTCCTGCTCGATCGAGAAAAAGAAGAGTAGCCTCTCTAGAATCTGGCAAAGTCATTATCAATGAATTCCCGAGCTATTATCAACCAAGATATGCGATCAAGAGAAATGAGGAAGACTAAATAAGATTTGGAAATTGATTCTCTAACCTCTTTTAGGGACTCCTAGAGCAGTGGGACATTTATAAGGATGTGAAAGAAGGACTCAAGTGCAAAGATGCTTTCATTGTTAGAAGAATCACTCTCGACCAGACAGACCGAGTGGGTATGGTAAGTGATCCCTATGAGGAGTCTTCAGTCTTCACACTATCATCCAAGACCCTTTCCTCTTCCTTTCCTAACAAGAATACCTTTCACTTTTTGTTGCCAAATTGAAAAATCTCGTTTACCATTAAAGACACAACTTAAAGTGATGTGTCGACATTTCACCAAAAAATGCACAGAACACAAACTTAGATATGTAAAAGTCACAGGTCACACAGATTACACAGAGCAACAAAATTCCTATGGTTTCACAATAATACGCTATTCTAGAACCCCCAGGGTTTCGTGAGAATCAAGTTTTCAGATTAAAGGAAGAACTAGAATAGGAGTCTGAGTACAAGTCTAAAATAATACGAGATTAAAAAATGCAACGACGTTCAACAAAAAAATCTAAAGCGATAAATAAATAATTTCACTTAGAAAATTAAACAAAGAATGGCAAGTAATCCTAGGTTCTACCAACAAGCAATGGTTTCCGAGCAATAACAACCATCAATCCTAATGATCAACCCACACGATGATCTGTTAGTGTGATAATGTAAAGGTTTCAGTCAATTTACCAAAGCTAACTTATCTGATTCCATAAACTACGGAGATGCGGTTTTACTGCTTTAGAGCCGAGATTTTAGCCTAAAGTAATTCAGTAAATATATATGGCAATTTCGACCGTTGACCCACCAAGGGCAAAATCGTCCAACTTTTTTTGTGAAACCTGAAACAAAAAACAAACTATATCAGTGCGTTTAGAAGATCAAAATAAGCAAACTGTCTGAAGGAAGCTTGCCAGAATTCGTCGCCACGTGCCACCATCGGAAAGTCAAGCGTCGTCGTCAGAGGTCGCCACCTCTACCACGTGCTGCACTGGAAGGAGAGCCGCCACCTGCTAGTTCCATGTACATGCTTAGATTTTCATGCAGATCAATGGTTTAACCAAAATTTGAGATTGCGGGTTCGGCCTTCTTTGAAAATCGTGATCCTGTAGCTTCTTATCGTCAATTTCTAGCCGAATTTTGGTCGAAGCTCCACCACCACCTCACTCTGATACCAAATGTTGATTCTAATTCCACCTACAATTGAATAGATCAATTAGTTAGTTATGGAATTTGCAAAAAAAAAAATGGAAAGGAAATCAAAAAGGGAAAGAAGGAAGAACTAAATAAAATGAGGCCAAGAGTCCAATTTATAAGAAAAGGAAAACAAGTTTCCCAGAAATAATCAGCTAAGATAGAGTTGAAGAAAATTGAAAATGGTTACCAAAAATAAGGATAACATTGCAACCATCTAAATCTCACTTGATTTAGAATTATCTCCAAAAGTTGAGTATTGAGCACCTAGTCCAATGGACTAATTTCCTCTAAATACCGAACACAATTGGGATACATCAATTGTGGTGTGGATTTATAATTCTTCAATCGTAGGCTTATAGCCTACCAAGTTAAACGGGCCTCGATTTTTCAGCATTGCCTAAGGAATTTGGACATCACTTACTAAAATGCCCAACAGTAGGGTTGCATGTGATTATTCGGGGAAAACCATCATGTTCCGCGTGGATCAGGGGTCCAATCCCGAGTATTTTATGGTGATGATCGAGTTTGAGGAAGGAGATGGAGACCTTGCTAGGGTTGATCTTCAACAAGCATCAAGTAAACCTGGTGAATGGTGGGAGATGAATATATTAGAGAGAGAGATATCTGTTGTACAATATATGTAGCTTCCAATGCATATTAGAGCAGGTTTGGTTGGGCTTCTGCTAAAGAAGAACATCTTCTTCTCGGCACTATCACATTATGCTTTCTACTGGCCGATAAAAGGCTACTTTTGAGCTAAGCAAAACATATATGCTCTTAATTGAGTGAATGAATGAAAGATGTCTTTTAATGTCGTTATATGGTTTTAAAGTGAAAATTGCTTTCAATGAACTCTGTTTTATTACAATTAAATACTTTATTTATGTTTTAATATTAAGTTCGTGTTTTGTTCAACTCTATTTGTTTGTCATAAGGAAAATTTACATCAATATTTCTGCTATGTGAGCAAATCATATATTGACACAAATTCTTAACTAATGTATCGCCTCAATTACTTTTTTTAAGCTCACTGATATTTGGAAAGAGTGTCACAATAATAAACAATGTATTAAATGTTCAAATTGGTGGTAAAAATAATTAAATTGATCAATAAACACAAAATTTGTGAGGCGATCCAATTCATTGTGAGGTTATTTTAGATTTTTAGTACTTTATATATATATCGGATTGGTTTTTAGATCCATTCTCAATTTTCTAATCAGTATATTTGTTTTTTTTTTTTTTAAATGTCTCCCTGAAAAAAAAAAGTATTTATACAAAGATGCAATCATCAAAAATGACTCCAGTGCTCTTATTTTAAAATATCGTCCGGGCAAATCTAGGATAAATAAAATAGAAAAATTATAGTCTCTAAATAAACTAAAATTTGTAGTCAACTTTTGCTATGCATTTTCATAAAGTAATTATACCGTAAATGTACAGTGTCAAGTTTTATAATATAACAATTGAGCTAGGATATCGAACCCACAGAAATTGATATTTAATTTTCACAAAGTACTATAATTGTGTAGCTCTTATTTTATCTAGATGAATTGAATTTGGAATTAATGCTTTTAATTAAGTTAATGTGATGAATCTAGTAACGAATTCAACAAATAAATGCATGCTAGAAGAATAATCCAGAGTGAGAAAAATCCTAGGATTATGATTTCACCTAATTATCAAATATGATTCTTAATTATATAATTATTTCTAATCAATTTTTTCAAATTTATAAGCAAGAACCCTAATTTAATTCTACTTCCTCTCTCGGGTATTGAATAAAAATTATTTTCTATATTTCTGTTCTAATATTTCTATTTCAAATTAAAATCTAGATTTTAAAAAGTTCGTGGTTTTTATGTGGAACATGGTTCAAAGATTCTATACTTAACCTATAAAATTTAGATTGTGTTATGCTAAGACCAAGCCACTTTCCCTCTCTCGAGTGCCAAAATATAATATCAAGTTGATTACATCAAATCCTAGTCATAGAATTTAGTTTATGATGGAAGTCATAGAAATAATCTAATTCAAATAAAACAACATATAGAATAAATAGAAAAACTAGTTTTGGGCCCCGTTTGGTACCCATTTTTTTCAAAATGTATTTTTCTCTCTCTTCTTTTCAACCATACATTCTTCATTAAAATAATATTACACTTAAATAAAAAAAAAATCCTTATTTTTTAACCACACATTTCACATCAATTTACTATTCCAAAATGCAATTTTACCTAAAAATAGCTCCCAAACACCCTCTTGGTAGATCTTCGATATCCTTTTCGATGCTATTCTTGATGATTGCCCTGTTGAATTGTAGTTTAAAACTAGTCTTTAGAATTGTATTCATATCATCATGAAGTCTTGGAAAATTTAGAGTTGGATTGAGATTTAAAAAGAATCCAAAAAAGTCTCTCTCCATCACTTGGCACCACAGCATCTTATTTTCGTGTTGGGATTTTTCACCCAATGTGCAGTTTCAATCACCAATCAATCAACCACAGCAATAATAAAACCATTCAGAAAATTAAAGAACACAGAAATTGTTCAGCCAATTCGGCCAAGCCTAATCTGGGGGACTCAGAGGCAAAAACCCAAGCTCGTCACTATGTAAGAACCACCCAAGAGAGAACACGAGTTCGTTTACAAGAATCAGATTATACCAAGAAATCTACAAATCATCGGTCTGTCAAAAGACCTCATAATAATAGCCCTAATCGACCCTGACCTGGACTCAAATGTAGTTTCAATTTACAGTATAAAATCTGACCAAAATGGACCAAAAAACCTGCTGTCGGAAAACACAAAATATCGGCCAGCCTACTATAAAATAACTACCAGATAACCGAATTAGAATACTGGCCTCACTACAAAAAATTATGCCGAAAAAATATACAGGATCAGATCTGAAAAGTTAATTTGGTAGAACTAAAAACACCAACGGGAGAGAGAGAGGAGAGAAGTCTGCCAATTGACTAGAGGAAATAATGAATGAAGTCACTAGTCTCTCTATCCAATCGTCTACATCAATAGAGGGAGAAGATTTGGATCTAAATCTCATCCATCCAATTTGATCAATGGCCCCATAATTTTTCAAACAAACATAAATCCATGTAAAGAGTAAGTAGCCAATAGTAGGCTACCATGTGGCCAACAACTTAAAGATTCTTTTTTTCTTCCTCCAAAGAAACGTGTAAATGGGTTTTTGGAAACATTTCACAATCTTCACCTTGTTTTCACAAACCTCTAGCTCTCTCAAGTTGCTACAATGCATGTGATGGTAATATTTTTGCCCTATATCATCGCCCTTAGTACCTGCAAAAGAAGTTAGCCCATATCAATATATAGTAAGATAAACAACGACTTAAATTTACCTATTCAGAATTTTGGTTCCCATATCAGATGGGTTCACATCGGTATGAATTTTTTCAAGTATAACATCACCACCAACAATATTTTTTCACGTATGAAATGGTACTTCACCTCATTATGTTTAGATCTTTCATGATAAACTGAGTTTTTACATAAAAGTAAAGCACTTTGACTATCAGTGAAAATAACGGGTGACACTTGCAAAAAATTCAACTCTCAAAATTCCTTTCAACCAAATATATTCTTTTACAGATTCTATTAGTACCACATATTCATCCTTCGTGCTGGATAATGTGACAATAGATGGAAGTTGTGATTCCATGTGATGCAACTATCCCCAAGTGTGAAGAAATAGGCGGTAGTAGACTTTCTTCGGTCCTTATCACCGGTAAAATCGGAGTCTACATACCCCTTTAAAAAGAGATATTCGGATCTTTTTTCAAACACCAATCCCACATCTAATGTCTCGACAATATATCTTAGAAGCCATTTTAACCTCGCCCAATGAGGTTTTCCCGGATTAGACGTGAATCTACTTAAGAAACTTATAGCATAAGCCAAATTCGGCCTAACGGTAATCATAGAAAACATGACTGATCCTATCGCATTAGCATATGGGATATTTTTCATTTCTTCCATTTCACTTTCAGTTTTAGGAGACTAAGATGATGATAAATTCATATGGGCTGCAAGAAGTACATTAACCTTCTTAACTTCTTTCGTGCCAAATTTGGTTACAACTTTGTTCAAATAAGCACTTTGTGTGATAGTTAAAATGTTCTCTTGCCTATTTTTGTTGATAACCATTCCCAAAATTTTCTTAGCATTTCCCAAGTCCTTCATATCAAATTCTGATTTTAGAAGCCCTTTAAGTCTCAAAATTTCAGCTTTACTAGAACTGGCCAATAGCATGTCATCAACATATAGAAGTAAATAAACTTCACTATCAGCCATAGTGTTATTATAGTACAAACAGTTAGCATATTCACTCCTTTTGAAACCAATTTTCAAGACATATGTCTCAAACCTAATGTATCATTGCCTTGGACTTTGTTTGAGCCCATACAATGACTTTTGCAACTTGTACACATAATCTCGCTTCTCCTTCACCTCAAACCCTTGAGGTTGATTCATATAGATCTCCTCATCTAATTCACCATGTAAGAAGGCTATCTTGACATCTAATTGTTCGAGTTCCCAATTGAACTGAACAACCAGTGCAAGAATCGACCTTATGGTCTTATATTTGACAACTGGGGAGAAGATCTCATTGTAGTCAACACCCTTCTTTTGAGTAAATCATTTGGCTACTAGCCTCGCTTTATATCTCAAAGGGTCAGATGACACAATCCCATCTTTTAGTTTGAAAATCCATTTACATTGAACAACTCTTTGATTTTTGGGTTTCTTTACTAATTTCCACGTGTTGTTTTCAAGTAATGGTTTCATTTCTTCTTTCATTGCATCTTTCCATTTTTTAGAGTTAGAGTTATTCACCTCTTCATATGATGAAGGTTCTGAATACTCTAAAGATTCACCCGAGATAAGGGCAAAGTTGGTCAAATTATTTATTTCATATCTTGGATTTGGTTTGACTTGCCTCATTTCCCTATCTCTCACCAATTGATAATTTTGATCACACACTTAGTAGCTCTAGGGTCTAACTTTCCTTCAACTTTATGTGCATATGCCGCACATCCAAACACCGTAATATGAGCAAGGTTTGGGGGTCTTCCCATCCAAAGTTCTTGTAGAGTTTTAAATCCAATAGAACTATATGGAGATCGATTTATAAGATAAGTAGCTGTAGATACAACCTCCACCCAAAAACCTTTCACTAATCCAGAACTGATTAGCATACATCTTACTTTGTTCATTAGAGTTCTATTCATTCTTTCCGCGACCCCGTTTTGTTGTGTGTGCTTAACGTTTCTGTGTCTTACAATTTCCTTTTGCTTAAAGAAGTTATCAAACTCAGCATTACAAAATTCTAATCTATTGTCAGTTCTTAGAGTTTTTAACTTCTTATCAAGTTGATTTTCCACCATCTTCAACCAAGTTCGGAATTTTCGAAAAGTCTTAGATTTAGATTTCAATGGATAAGTCCAAACTTTTCTAGAGTAGTCGTCAACTATAGAAAGAAAGTACTTATTCCTTCCAAAGGTAGAATGACTTTCCGATCCCCATAAATTTGAGTGTACATAGTCTAGAGGCCTATAGGTATGTGATCCAGTCTCAAAGCTCACCTTATGAGACTTGCCCAACACAC